CGCGGGCGGCGCGCCCAGGTCGCGCACCAGGGCGGTGATCACCTCCGCCCAGCCCTGCTCCGCGGCGACGTGGAGCGGGGTGCGCCCCTCCAGGCTGGCCGCGCCGGGGGCCGCGCCGGCCGCCGCCAGCTCGCGCACGCAGGCGGCCCGGCCCCAGGCCGCAGCGGCGTGCAGCGGCGTGCAGCCGTCGCGGTCCGCCGCGTCCACCTGCGCGCCCAGGCCCAGCAGCGCGCGCAGCGCCGGCAGCCGCCCCTCGCCCGCGGCCAGGTGCAGCGGCGTGGCGCCGGCCGCGTCGCGCGCCTCCGGCTCGGCCGCCGCATCGGCGCACAGTGCGCGCAGCGCGTCCACGTGGCCGTACGCCGCCGCGTGGTGCAGCGGGGTCCACCCCTGCGCGGCGGGCGCGTGGAAGCCGGGACGCGGCGGGGGCGAGCCCCACAGTGCGCGCAGCGCGGCCACGTCCCCCGCCGCGGCGGCCAGGTGCGGCGGCGCCCAGCCCAGCGTCCGCGCCGCCACGCACAGCGGCGAGCCGGGCGCCGGCGGCGCCGCGGAGCAGGGCTGCGGGGCCGCGTCCTCCGGCCCTGCAACGGCCCCGGTCCCCCGCTCGGCGCCGACGGCCAGCGCGGCACTCTCCCAGCCCAGGTGCAGGTAGCCCAGCAGGTCCTGCATGCAGCCGCGTGCCGCCATGGCGTGCATGGGCGTGCGGCCCGCCGCGTCGCGCGCCAGCGCGTCCGCCATGCGCAGGACAAGGGCTGCGCCGTTGGCCACTGCCGCCAGGTGGAGTGGTGTGCAGGAGAGGAAGTCGCGGGCCAGCAGCACCTGGGGGCCGGCGCTCAGGAGCAAGTCCACGCACTCCAGGTGGCCCCGCATGACGGCGTGGTGTAAGGGGGTGCGCCCCTCCAAGTCCCTGGCCAGCAGGTCCGCATCCTAGAAGGAAGGGGGGGGGGCGCGGGGGTTGTGCAAAGGGGTTGAAAGGGCTCCGGGCATGTGAAAGGCAGGTGTTGGACTCGTGAAAGCCAGGACCATTGAAACATGGGATATGGCAGGAAGAGCATACAGGCTGTGGGGACCTTTGTGAACACCATCTGGTCAGTCATGATATTTGAAGGAACAACTGCCCTGCAGGGAGCTACCCGTCATGTGCATGTCAGTCGTGGGGAGGGTCAACCAATCCCAAACTCTTGACACACCAACGCCACATCACAGAGAGCACTGGAGTGCCTGAGTCCTCGGCCACTGCCATCGGCCCCTTACAATCGCATGCACGCCCTTCGCACCTCATGGCTGAGGAGCTGCGTGAGCAGCGTCACATCCCCGCTCTGGGCTGCGCGGTGCAGGGGGGTGGGCTCCAGGGGAGAGGGGGCGTAGTACATCCCTGCCGCTCGCGCGTCCAGGCCCTGCATGAGGCATGCGGAGCGGTGGTGACGCTCATGACACGGGCGTGGCGGGGCAGGGCCCCTGTGTGGCCTGCGACAGCCCGGACACGACAGAGACGCCTAGCGTTAACAAAGCTTCCATGGTACCGCCCCCCTCTCACCCCCGCCACCACGTGTCGAGATGGAATGGAGGACTCGATCCGATATATGGAAGGGCAGGTGGACTCGACACTGAGTAAAGGTGGTGTTGGCAGGATGGAGTGCTCGCCAGCATGGGCTGGGGGAAGAGCGGTCACCGCAAGGACTGGTCAGGGGCGATGGTCAGCATGATGCGCTATGTCAGACATGGCAAGGGGTTCAGTATGTGTTGCAATGCGATGGCAAGCCTCTTGGCCGGAGGCTGGGGCGATCGGGCGAGAGTCTGTGCCTGTCCCACCTCGACTGTGGCGGGAATGTGGATGGGGGATTCCGGACTTTGTATTTGAAGAGTCGTGTCCCGGGGATCGAAACCCTCACCTTGGGAGCACATCGTGGCTCTTGGAGCGACGAAGAAATTTTCAGCACGGTAGCCAGAGAATTGCAAATGCCTGGAGGCCCCGAGATGCAGTGCGAACCCCCAGGCCTGGAGACTCTCGGCCTTTGTGTGAGGCTGCTCCCTCCGCGGGGCACTCAGACCCCCAGACCCTCCCAATGAGGCACCGGTTGTCCAAGGATGTGCAGCTCCTGGCCCTGCGATCGCGCCAGCTGTGGTCTGGGATGCCCTCCAAGGGAGGGGTTGCCCCAGGGGTGCCAAAGCCCGAGGCTGCACCCTCGGCGCTGGGCGGCAGCGGCACTCTGCCGGAGAGCCGCCTGTCCTGGGCGGATCCCCGGCGCCCCGTGAGCATCAGCCAGGGCGCCCTGGCTCTCATCCTCATGGGTGGCGTCGCCCTGGGCGCGCAGCACGACAGGCTGGGCGTGGCGCAGCACGGCGGGGCAGCCTCCACGCCATCTTCTACGCCGGGCGCTGCGTCGGCCCTCTCCCACCAGCTGGCAGGTGCAGCGCGTGTGTGTTGATGAGGATGGAGGCATTGGATGGTATGGAAGGCCAGGGGGAGGTCGCAGGGATCTCTGGACGAGCGGCGGGGATGGAGGGGGGATGCGCCGGGGAACAGGCTGACTTTCTGGAGCGTCCTCGCGCCCCACCCTGTGCTCCCTCCCACCACAACGCTCCTCATCCCCTTCATGAACGACGACGCCCCTTCACTCCTCCCCCGGGACCACCAGGGCACCTGCCGTCTTTCGGCGCCCTGTCCCAGGCCGCTCCCGGGCCCCCCTGCCTCTCCCCCCACTTCATCGCGGACGCGGCAGCCAAGGCCGCCCCCGGCGTGGTCAACATCGTGGTGGTCGGCCGCGGCCCCTTCCCCGTCGGCTCCTCCGGCTCCGGCTTCCTGTGCGACCCCGATGGCACCATCCTGACCAACGCGCACGTGGTGGCGGACGCGCTGCCCGCGCCGCGCCGCGGCGGCGGGGCCGCCGGCACCCCCGCCGGCGCCGGTGGCGCCGTGACTGTAACGCTGCAGGACGGGCGCGTGTTTGAGGGGCGCGTGGTCTCCTCCGACGCCGTCTCTGACCTGGCGGTGGTGCGCGTGGAGGCTGGCGCGCCGCTGCCCTGCGTGCGGCTGGGCTCCGCCTCCCGCCTCCGCGTCGGGGAGTGGGTGGTGGCCCTGGGCTCCCCCCTGCACCTCCAGAACAGCGTCACCGCGGGCATCGTCTCCTGCGTCGACCGCCGCGCGGCCGAGCTGGGCCTGGCCGGCGCGCGCACCGACTACATCCAGACCGACGCCGCCATCAACCGCGGGAACAGCGGCGGGCCGCTGCTCAACCTGGCGGGCGAGGTGGTGGGCATCAGCTGCATGAAGGCCCTGGCCGCCGACGGCGTCTCCTTCGCCATCCCCGTGGACACCGCGATAGACGTCATGCGCCAGCTGGCGGCGCACGGCCGCGTCATCCGGCCCCACGTCGGCATCAAGATGCTGGAGCTGACGCGGCACAGCGCCGCGCGCTTCCGCGAGCGCGACCCGGGGTTCCCGGACGTGACCGCGGGCATCCTGGTGCCGGCGGTGACGCCCGGGTCGCCCGCCGACCGCGCCGGCCTGCGCCAGGGGGACGTGGTCACGGGGTGGGCCGGCGCGGCGCGCGGCGCGCCTCCCACCACCAAGGCCCTCGTCGCCGCGCTGGGGGACAGCATCGGCAAGCCCCTGGTGCTGCAGGTGGCCAGGCCTGGGGCGGGCACGCTCAGCCTGACACTGGTAGCGCAGGAGGTGCCGTGGGTGGGCGGCGCCGCGGGGGCGGGGCCAAACGGCAACGCCAGGCCCTGAGCGCGTGTGCCCCGACCCGCACCGCCGTCAGCGGACCCTCATCGGGAGGGGGCCAGGACCCCAAAGGTGCAGCGCCGATGTCCATGCGAGGGATGCTGGGCACAGCATGCTGTGCCTCATGGACACCCATCTTGGCCTGGGAAGATGTCATGGCAGCTGTACTACATCAAGCCCCCCAATCGCCAGGACCACCTGGGTACCACTGTCCCACAGACAGTCCTTGGTCTTGTACTCATCCCAGCAATGCAGCTGTGATGCACACCTGCCCCTCTACGCACGATTCATGGCATCTCTGTCCAAACTGACAGCATTGTCCCTGCCCACTCACCAGCATCCTGTGGCCACACATCAGCAACCCTTGAGGGCGAGCCTCGTACGCACAGCGCTGAGGTTTTGGCCCTGGGTATTCCTGACTTGCGACGGATGCCCACTGCTTCATGCACGCACATTGCGATCTGCCACCCTCAGATGTCCTCCTTAAGCCGGCGCCAGGTGGCGTGCACCTCAAATGTACAGAATTGTCGTTGCTGGCCTGGCAAGTGTCACAATTACGCAGGGCGGGGGAGGGGGTCAGTCATGCACACAGGAACGTCTTTAATGGGAAAGAGGGGTACAAAACGGTGCTGGGGTGTCAGCATCAGGAGCGGACTGCTAATGGCAGCGTGTACGTCCTGGCATGCCGTGTCGACAAGATCAGGGCAACGGGCGAGGGCGTCGTGCGCAGACTCGTGCGCGCTTCACTCTCCAACAGGAGCGAGGAACCAGTGTATGGGCGGTGGCTCGAGAGCGCGAGGGCACCCGCCGACGAGGGGCTCGGCCTGGACGATCAAGGTACACACTTGGGATGTGGAGGTCGATTCAAGCCGCAGACAGCTGTGGGTGGGAGGCGGTCTTGTGGAGGGGCAGGGAGGCAATGTCCCCCGTACTCTCCACGCGACACATGTCGGCCACGGAGGGCGGGCGTGTGGCGGGGGCCATGGGTACTAGGTCGCCCGCAGTGTCAGCCTCATGGGACACGAAGACCATGCCGGGTGGGAAGGCGGCCGCGTCTGCTGTGTCTGCCTCGATCAACGAACTGTGGACGGTAAGACTTTGGAAGATGGGGAACTCGCGGAGGCACACAATATCAGAGCATGACCTGTTACCGCGTTGATCTCATCTCTTCATCCGAGAGAAAACCACAACCCTTGCCTGTCACTGGCGAAGAGGAGGCCGTCGCTGAGCAGGGCAGCTCCCCAGTAGAGGGGCTCCTCGCCACCCGCGTCCCTCCCCGCCATGATTCGTAGGCAGCTGCAAAAATTGTGCACTGGTAGTTCAGTTTAACAGGCGAGGCATGCTGGCCTTTCTATAAAATGACGAAGGCATGCGCTAGGAAACTCAAATCTCCCCAAAATACCTTACCTCCGGTCAAAGAGGACAAACGCAAAAGGGCCTTGGAAAACTTGGAGTGCGGAGAAGTTTGGTCGCTCCCTGGCGATATCTGTGCACCAGTCATCCTCGTACTTTTGAAGGATGTAACTGGCCTCCTCTATATCCTCCAGAGGATCTAAGCGGAGGGAGGAAGAAGAAGATACTGAGTTGCCGTGCAGAACTCCAGACAGTATTTCTAGGTGTGGAGCAGGACCCAAGCAACCATGAGGTGGGGTTGGAGCCTTGCCGACTACTCACTTCTTAGAGAACCCTTGAAAAACACGCTGACATCCCCATCGGTAGCAACTTGGTGGCGGTCAGAGGCCAAATACCTGTGGTGGATATAAAAGGTGTTCATCCAACCATGGGAAAGTTGGGTGGCAACATGGGGCTTGGAAAGGTCCCTGGTCTCTCCATTGTCTCAGCATCCGCAACCCCACCGGAAACCCTAGTGCCCGGCCAGGGACTCACGCGATGCCGTTGCCACCCCCGCCGAACATGTGCTCCTGGACGTAGCCCCTCTGGCGCCTGGGCAGGCTGCTGTACAGATTATCCAGCAGCGAGGCCAGGAAAGATTCTTCTTCCGGTGTCACCATGAGCGTGTTCTTCCGCTTAGTGGGCGAAAGGAGACTCTTCCGCTGCTTGCCGAAAACGACCAACATCTTGACAAGGCGTGGAAGAGAGCCTTCCCGACACGCCTCCGAAATCAAATTGTGAGATAATGATGCTTTCTGGGTTCCTAGTTGGGGCAGATGACCCTTGTCGCCGTGGGTTGCTCTGCCCCATGACCCCCGAATCTGGGGAGTGCTGAGTCATCACTCAAATCTTGGTAGTTGGTCCCACGCAAAAGCGAGATGTTCCTTTCACCCGCCTGTGACCGTGCTAGAGCATAGCAAAGAGCGAATGTGTGTATTTAGAGACGCTTCCAGCAGCCAGGGGCTTCACCTGACTTCCATGCTGTTCCTGCATTGCATGGGGCACATGGCTGGTGCACAGCTTTTGCAATATAGACTCTTCAAGGGTGCCACAACCTCACCACCTGGGCATCGATGAATGTATAGAATTAGGTACAAGTGGAATAACAAACGACTGAGTGCCCCTTGCATTCTTCAGAATGACTCCTGGGCCATCATGCATGCGTCGCGGCAATCTGATCGCATTGGGATCGGAGCCCGGAACTGTGGCCTCTAGATCCTTGTGAGCGAGCAGGAAATTGGGAGACAATTAGGTTCTGTATATTGCAATGAATGCGATCATCTTGTCAACCTCATCGGCGCAGCGGAGCACAGCAAGCTCCAAAGCCTTCACGGCCACACTCCCCCGGCCAAAGCGACCATGCAGGCTTCCTGTACATCAAAGGTTGCCACCGCGACCGTGTTCACCCTGAGCTAGGAATGAAGTTGATATTACTCATGAAGTGTGAAGCGGCATCCTCCGTGACTGGCGCCCTGTCCTGCCCTCTGCGAGATTTATGTCACGCGCTGGGCCGTGCCATCACCCTTCCCCCCCTTATTTGCACCCATACTCGCAGGCCGGCCCAACGGCGCATCATCTCTCTACTCATCCCTTCACCCGCCAATCTCACGTCCCATGTCCTGCATGCCACCGGGAGTGATGCTGTCGAGGTCGACATTGAGGAGGATACGGTGAGCCTCGGTGCGAGGAGGGCATGGCCAGTGTGTGCAGCCTGGTATGCCCCGAGATCCCTAGAGTTACTTGGCTCATCTGGAGGTGCGATGGTAGCTATGCCATCCCCACGCATCCCCTTGCATTCCTCCCAGATGGAACGCATGGAGAAGACGATGGAGGCCACTCGGCGCAGCTTCGGCACCGTCCGCACCGGCCGTGCCAATCCAGCCGCCCTGGACCGGGTCATGGTGAGAGGGAGGGATCTCTGTTGTCCTGGCTACACTCGTTGCATATGTCCTGAGCGGCGGCGGCTATCTTGAGAGATGCGCAGCCTTGTCGGGTCGAGGTTCCCACCCCAGGAGTGCAGGTTTGACCCTCTGATTGCCCACACTGCCAGGTGGACTACTACGGCGCGCCGACCCCGCTCCGCCAGCTGGCAGGCATCAGCGCCCCCGAGGCCTCCCTGCTGGTCGTCCAACCTTACGACACCTCCGCCATTGCAGTGATCGAGAAGGCCATCATGCAGTCTGACCTGGGCCTCACCCCCAACAACAACGGCCGCCTCATCCGGCTCCAGATCCCGGCGCTCACCTCGGTGAGGCCAGAGGGGCGCTGAATGGGGGGCCTGGGAGGGGAGCATGCCTCCAGCTACCCAAGGGGGAGTTAGGCGTCCTGCTCGTTCGCTTTGCCTTGCCCTTATGAGAGACCTGTGCCCTCTCACACTGAGCCTTTCCCCATGCCACCTCAGGACCGGCGCAAGGAGATGACCAAAATTGTTGCCAAGCTGGCCGAGGAAGGCAAGGTGGCCATAAGGTGCGGCTGGCTCGCAGCGGTGTGTATCTTTGGGCGATCATAGGCACCCACTGCTGCTCTGGAGGCAGCCAGCCCTGGCAAAGTAGGCCCCTGTGCATCGAGGGAGAGCATGCCTCTATCTTCACACCATATTCCCCCCTTGCCACCTCGGCAGGAATGTGAGGCGCGACTCGATGAAGGCCATAGAGAAGCGTGAGAAAGAAAGTGCAATCGGCGAGGACGAGCGCAAGGACCTGGAGGATGCCGTGCAGGAGCTGACGAACGAGTACGTCGCCAGCATCGACGCGCTGGCCAAGTCCAAGAACGAGGAGCTGACCACGGTGTAGGCGCTGGAACTCTTGGTGAGCGACTCGCATTGTTTTTCTTTCATGGCCAGTAGGATTGTGGTTGCATCCTCTCTTTCTCCTTCTTGCCTGGCATGTGCTGGCAGGCCAGAGCGCAACACTCGGCAGCGACATGCGGGGTCCTGAACACCATTGCAACAAGGAACAGGCGACGGAACCTGGGCTGTCAGCAATCAATAGCGCCCAGACAACTGCCAAGCAGATTGCATCAGTGAATGTCCACCCGATCACGCAGGGCGCATCAGTCCTTCTTCCCAGTTATCCGGCCGAAGAAATTCTTGGCCTTGTCCACCACCGTGTCCTCCAAGTCCTCCTCGGGGGGGATGATGATCAGGTCGGCGGGCAGGTACCACTCCTCGGGCTTGGTCTTGTCCCTGGCAGATGGCAAGGTGGGGTCACAGGTTCAGCCAGGGTGCAGCGTGAATAGGCGAATTGTATTGTATGGGACCAGAACTCTCGCGCTGCTGATCTCATAATTGCAAGGACATCATGAAGAGGAGCCCACCCATCCTGTAAATACACTTCGCTCCCCATACCTGATCTTGAAGGCATACTCAAACTCCTTGGTCTCCTTGAAAAATGGGTACTGGTTCCGCAGCTGGCGCTCAACCTCCAACCGATCCTGCATGGAGGGATTGGGAGGGACCAAAGTGGAACCTCTTGGGCACATGGAAGGGCACACTGCGCAGCAGGCGTCACATGAATCTATAGGTCCAATGCAAAACACCCGCCAGCAGGCTGCCGTGGCCTGCAGCATTCCCCTGCATCCATGACAACGAGCCCGCCCAGGCCACTCCACCTTGTATAGGCCCTGCGCTATGTTCCGGATGAGGGTGTTGGTGTACATCTTCTTTCCCAGGTTCCCCTGCATGCTCTTCACCAGCATGTTGGCCGCGGTGCCCCCCTTCATGATGGACAGGGGCACCCACTTCATCAGCTTCTTGCTGCGCACAAACATCACAAACTCCTCGTTCTTGGGATCGGGCTCCGGAGTGGGCGGTTTCTGTGCAGAGTGAAGGTGGTGGTGACCGGCTGCATGTCGTGGGGGGCAGGCGAAGGCACTCTGGATCGGTGTCCATGCGTATAATGAGCCGCTCTGGCCGAGCAGGCGGGATGAGGACTTGCTCAGGTCCAGGTGACCTCCCCATGTCCCGCATCACTCACCGGCATGGTGGGAGGCCCACCACTCCTGCCACCTTGTCTCAGCCTCTGCTTTCCTTTGGCAGCCCGCACCTGTCGCGGGGACATGACAGACCGGTGAGCCTCGGTGCGATGCTCTGGCTCGCGGCATCGGACCCCATGCTGCATGGTATTGCAGGGGGCCTGCCCACCCCACACACCCCACCGTGACGAGCCGGGGCCTCGCGACGGCGGGAGTCGAGGTGAAAGCAGTAATGCCGACATGTCCTCCGAAAAATGACCTGCATGGCGAGGGTCGGAAGGGTGGGATGTCCGCGCATGGAGGTGCCACTGCTCCTGCAAGCGGGACCCCATTGCTCACCTGCCACAACTAGCTGGAGCGAGGGCAGACATCCTGCCTGAATGCGTCACCGGGGCACAGTGGTTGATTGCGGCAGTATACTAGCCTGGTCTCGGCGGGGTCCATACAATCGCTGGGTTGCGTGCTGGGCCCCCTCTGCTCGACCCTCTAAATGAAAGGGATCGGATCAGCCGTGCGGACGCGAGGCACAGCACGCACGCTGCCCAGCCCCCTTCATGACCATCCGGCATGTGCACCCTCGTCCCACGCAGGCGCACGGAGTGATGCCCAACCTGCTCTGTGGTCATGGAATCACTCGTTGATTGTTACCCTGGCGAGGCAGCGCCAGCGGCCGCCAGGCCTGCCAACCGCCCCGTCGCCCATGCCCAGTAAAAGTTGAACCCCCCGATGCGCCCGTGCACATCAAGCAGCTCCCCACATATGTACAGGGAGGGCACGACCTCGCTCTCCAGGGTCGACCAGTGCACCTCCTCCAGCGGCACCCCCCCGCCGCACACCTCGGCCTGCGTGTGCATGCGGGAGGGCGGGGGGTTTGAGGATCCCAGGGGTCCAGCAAGGAGTGCGACACGACCTGAGGCTCAGGCCAATACCACGATGCATCCCCAGACTCACACAGGCTACGCCGGTCTCCTCCACCCACCCACCTTGGCAAAACCCTCGTCGCCGCTGACGGGCAGCTTCCACCCCGCCAGGGTCGCCAGCAGGGCCTCGCGCTGGGCACGGGTGATGCTCGCCAGCCTCTCCTCGGGCGCGACGCCCGCCTCCTGGCACAGCGCGGCCGCCAGGCGCGCCGGCACGCCGTGTGCCTTGAGCGTGGCGCCCGCGCCCTTGCCGCCGGGCGTGGCGCGCAGGACCGCCTCCCAGCCCTGCCGGTCCAGACCCGTCCAGCTGAGGTAGAGGTCTGCCAGGTTGGGTCAGAGGAGAAGGTGTGCGGTGGAAGAGGCTGCTGGAGGTGATGGTCAGGCGCCGGGATGCTTGATTGCATGCACGTCGCGTCCTCAACAGTGATCCCTCCGAGCTGAGTGGGCAGGTGCCCAGATGTGCAGCCAGGGGTCTGCTGTGCTGCACCTCCACGCCCCCTATTCCCTTGGGAGCCTGTGTTCTTGCGGCCGCTTCCGCACCACGCACATCACCCTCCTCCCCGCAAGCCCTCCTTCCTCACCGGCGCCGGGCGCCTGGCGTGGGGCCTTCCCTTTTGGCAGCGCCTCCTCGCCCACCCGCACCATGCCCGCCCGGACGGCATGGTGGGACAGGTCCAGCACCGCCGGCCCCGAGTAGCCGCGGTGGGTCAGCAGCACGTCCCCGCGCGGCGACACCTGCAACGCGCGCCTCGACCCCGGGCGCCTCGCCTCCAGCGCTGCGCCGTGCACTGCCAACCCCGCCAGGCGCGCGCCGCCGGGGTGCCGCCCCGTCAGCGGTGTCAGAGCCGGGAAAGGGGCGCGCACGGCGTGGCCCAGTGCGCCCAGCGCGCCGTACCCGTCCCCCGTCGTGCCCAGCGCGGGGAAGGAGGCGCCCCCGGCCGCCATGACCAGGGCGGCGGGGCGAGGGGCCGTGGCAGCGCCAGCCGCGAGGCCCAGCGCCCAGCCGCCGCCGCCGGCGGGGACCGGGGCGCCGCAGGGCGAGCGGTACCGCACTCTGACCCCGGCCCGCAGGCAGGCGCCCAGCAGCGCGTCCCGCACCGTCTTGGCGGAGTTGGTGGTGGGGAAGTACTTGTTGGTGGCCGGGTCCAAGGACAGACGGATGCCCAGGTCGCGCTCCAGCCTGCACGCCGAGGGAGGGCAGAGGAACGCACAGGTCGCAGGCCTGGGGCGAGGGGCATTGAGTCTCCCAAGGGATTTCCATCGAGCGATAGTAAACACCTTCTGCAACGACACCCCCGGCCCACACCGTGCCGGGCTGCCCCAGCCGACGCTCACCACTCCTTGCACGAGGATAGGCTCCAGTGAGATAGGATGACGCGCACCCCGGCAGCCCGGCTGCTGGTCTGGAAATCCAGGTCCACATCCACGCTCCCAGGCAGCACATTACTACCAGGGTTGGGGGTGTTTGAGGAGGGGCTTGACGTATCGTGGCATGACTATAGGCAGCTCTGGCCCAATAAGACCATGCATATCAGTCCAGAGCCCTGCATTGCTTGGCCTCACCATCTGGTGCCGCCTGAGATGAGGATCTTCTTGCCGGCCTCATCTGTCTTTTCATATACAGTCACCTGGGACGGTGAGATACAAGCTTTCATAGGAGCACGTCGGATGGGCCGGTCACTTGGAAAGCCCTATCTGACCACCCATACGCTACCCAACCTCAAGCACCTGGGCCCCAGCCTTGGCTGCAAAGTAAGCGGCGGTGAGACCTGCCGCCCCAGCACCAATTACAGCCACCCTCTTCTGTTCAGTGGACAGGCAAACGATGTTTAGCCTTCCTTGCAGCTTCATGCGACCGTAAGGGCTGCAGTGCCGCGTGGGAGTGGGAGGGGCCCTCGTGCCACCCCATGCCCATCCACCTGTATGCATGCGGGCTACATGGGCCATGGCATTGTGGTTTCGATATCGCAATGCTATTCTTGATGCTCGCTTCTGGTTGTAACAGCATCATGTTCAGAATCTATGCATCCGAATCACCACGCCATAGCGTCACTCTTCGCGCGCGCCCTACCAGGTCCGCAACAACCATCCGATCAATGTGCGGAATCGTTGCCTGTCCATGGATTCCAAATTCCTCAGGATTGTTTCGGTATAAACATGACCTCGATCTTCTTGCCAGATCAACCGATGGGCCGGTGAGAGGTGCGCTTGGTAGTCTGAGCATGTCTCCCCCACTACGCTTCACGGATCTAGGTGTCCACTTCACATGCACCGTGGATGACCTGAGCGGTACCTGGTCCAAGATAAGACCTGTGAGACGGTGGTCCGGGGGAATGCTCCAGGTGCAGTGCCCAGGCTATCTCGCCTGAGATCACATAGCCCGGAGCCTGCTTCCTTTCGCCGCAGTACCTGGAGGCACGGCTCCCACTGCGGCATGCCCAGTTTCGCAACAGCCTTGGTGTCTCGTCCACCCTCGACGAGCTGCATCTGAGGTGTGCGGTTGATGGGGCAACTTGATTGTCACAGGAGGCGCTCAAGCGTGTGGGGGCCCAGATGGAGTGCCACCCCTTCACTCCCACTGCCCTCCTCCCAGATACGTCAATACCGGCGATGCCTATGTGCAGCGCCTGCGCCAGCTGTCCTACAGCCCGGTCACGTGGTTCCGCAACCCCTTCTGCCAGCTTGTGCTCTTCTCCTGCGAGGACGTGGAGGAGTATAAGCGCCTGCACCGGCCCCAGATCCGAGCTATCGCCGACCCTGAAGCCCGCACAGCTGTGGCGCCAGAGCTGGTGATTGCCTACGTCGCCCCCGCCGCGGCGGACTCGAGGGCTACAGCCAAGGCACGAGGGGCCTGGGGGAACTTATTTGACAGGCTCTGGACTGTGTATTTTGGGATGCATGAAGGGTACCTGCACTACCAATGGGTTTTATGATGGCATCATGGGGCCCGCTGGCCGTGCCTGCAGCAGCTCTGGCCTGAGACTTGATCGGACGATGTCGTGCCTCAATGGGGCCTGAAGTGGGGAAAGTTTGGCAATCATTCTTGGCGCTGTAGACCCTCCACACTCCAATCCCTTCATGGACTCCTCATGCACAGGTATACGACACCATGCGCCGGGATTTTGCGTACAAGCGGCGGGATCGGTGCGTCCGGCTGGATCCGCCCCCCTCCACCGCCCCAGGGCCTGTGATGGGCACCCCCCGAGGTGCGGGCAGGGTGGATGTGTGACACAGGGCAGCCAGGCATTGCAGACATGCAGTGTTGTTCAGGAAGCTTGCACACAGACTTGGGAAGCGGGGGGGGGGGGCATTGGATGGTTTATTATAGAGTCCTCTGTTGATGGGCAGCTGCGTCGGGACTGAGGTCCGTTGGAGTGCCACTTCACCCCTGCCCACACCGCTCCCCTCTGCCCTACAGGGTCCATCGCTGGGCTGGAGATCCTGGAGTACCTGGTTCGCGAGGCCGTGATGCTCACCTTCGAGGCCCGCACTGGAGCCTACCAGGAGGAGGTGGGAGGTGGGGCTGGCTGCATTTAAGGCATGTTGCAGGCCGCAGCCTCATTTGTTGATGGGGCTGGTGAGACACTGTTATTCAAAGAGCTGGTCCCCTGGCGAGGTCCCACCGTTTTTTCCTATCCCCACAGATCCGGAGGCACATGAGCAATCGGCTGGAGGTGGGGTGGACCTTCACCCCCCTCTTCCTCATCAAGGACTCCCTGGCGGTCATGCTGGAGGCCGCAGGTGGGCCGAGGTGGGGTCGCGCGTGGCCAGCATGGCTATGTCAACCTGTTGCATGCGCCAGGCCGTGCCTTGACCCAGCGTGTGGTTGCCTTACCTTGGGTGTTGGGACCTGAGAAGGGTGCTCAGCATGCTCCCTCGATCACGAGGCAGTCAGCACCCCAGCATCTCACTCTGGCCCAGAGTCCACATCTCCCTGATCCCCCGCCCACTTGCCCCCTCCACGCCTTGCCATGCAGGAATGTACGAGGATGCGCTGCGGGAGTATGCCGAGCTGGATGTCTGCCATGCGGACACCGCAGCGCAGGCGCAGGCCTGGCAGCAGCAAGCGGCGACGCCGCTCCCCCCCGACCCGGAGGGCCCCTCGGCTGCTCCGCCCGACGAGGTGGGCCCCATGTGGATGCCCTGGCCCGGCATCCGCCGCACGGCGCTGGCCCTGCCGCAGGTCCCGGACTTTGTCATGCGCCAATTCCTCTTCGCCAGCCAGGCCAGGATCCTGCTCAAGCTGCGCCGATGGACGGAGGTGGATGGGCGACTGATTTGTATGTTTGGGGGGGCCTGCTCTGCGTAGGCGGCTCTGTGTGGGCCGCAGGGCAGTGAGGACGGCAAGGGGGGGCAGGAGGAGTTTGGTGTGACCGGCGATGGCTCTTGGGGGTTGTGGCGACCATAGGCAGGGAGTGCATGGAAGAGTGTCCCGCTTTCATCAAAGCACTGCGGTCAGGCGGTCACAATCACCAATGAACCCTCCTCCGTCCTCTCCAGCTGGCCGAGCGCGGCAAGGGCTTCATTGAGGCGGGCGGCGCCTGCTGGAGCGCGACGCGCCCCCCCCCGCCTCCTCCACCCTGCCAGCCACGTGGGCCTTTGCGGCCTACGCCACGCTGGCCAGCACGGTGCTGCACGCCGCGCGGGAGGGCGGGGCGCCGAGGCCCTCGTCCCCGGAGGCGCGCCGGCCCCGGGGCCCTGCACGGGCCGCCGAGCCCCGCGGGGCTGTGCCGGCCCAGCTGGGAGGGCCCTGCGCCGGCGCGCCTGTCGAGCCGGTGGAGGAGGCCGTGGCGGTGACGAGCGCGGCGTCCGATGTGGAGTGGGACCTCGGGCCCTTGCCCGACAAGAGGGCCGGCTGGCGGCTCCAGGCTGGGGGGCCCGGCCAGTCGCAGCCGCCGCACAGGGCTTCGGGGGCCTCACAGGCACACCCATCTACGAGAAGCTGAACGCCCACCCGAGCCGCCCCATCTCCGCCGAATTCATGACTCAAACGGCGCAGTCCGTCATCGACTTTGTTACCCCTCTGGTCAACGCCACCAACCTCCAGGTACACCTGGCCTGTCGCCGGTTTCCTGGCATGCGGTGCCTCGCGTGCATGAGTACATGCAAGACACTCTGCCGCGCCCAGCCGCCGCACGCCGGGTCATCGAGACCCCTTCCCCCGGTCACCCTGCGCAGGAAATCGCGGGTGCGGCCCTGCCCATGAGCGCCGAAGCCATCATGGAGAGCTTTGATTGGGTGGCATCTGCCTGGAAGGGTCGCATCGCTGAACTCGTGGGGGCACAGGACTATGCAGAGGCATGAGATGTTGATGTGCAGCATGTGTGTACCAGTCAACCCCGCCGACCCTTTTCCCAAGTCTGCGCCACAGCCCTGTCCCAGCACAAGACGGGCTCATAGCTCCGTGCTCGATTGTAACCCATCCCATCCCTTGCAAGAGAGTGTCATTGGGGCAGGGTAACCTCAAGGCCACATTTCAGGGCCAGGGGCGAGGTGAATAAGCTGGCACTCTTCCTAGAACAAGACGCTTAGGGCATGACGTTCCTGCCAGGAAAATACTCCCGAGACTGGGAAGCACTGGGGTCATGGATCCTTGTTCCTGAGGCGCATCGGATTCAGATTCTCAACTCGATGCTGCTCTTTAGAGCAACCACCTCGACCAGAGGCAGCGGGGTGCCCTTGCCAGCAAGTCTGAGTGCAGCATCCTAAAAGTCAATAGTCACATTCTTTCATTGATTGGAATGATATGACAGATCACGAGCGCATGGGATGAAGCATAGAAGGTGCACCTCAGGTACCTCGAGAGGCAGCACAGACTGCGTTGTCAACCAGTCTTCGGGGGCAGGCCGTCAAGAGTAGGGCGGGTTTGCATCATCATTGTCGTCTAACTTCGTATAATGTATGCTATCCGAAGTTATTACGTGGGGGGCCCGGCCAGTCGCAGCCGCCGCACAGGGCTTCGGGGGACGCGCCGGCGGCCCCGGCCCTCCACGTGGCCCTGGGCAGCGTGTTTGCGGCCGCCCGAGCCGAGCTGGACCGCGTGGCGGCGGGACGCCAGGCGGTGGATGGGGACCGCGCTGGAGTGGGCGAGGGCCTGACGCGGCTGCTCGACTCGGTCGACAGGTGGGTGGCAGGGAGTGGGGGGACGCCGTGCTGCCGTGAGGTCCAACCAAAAAGGGAGTTGGGAGCGCGGCATGGCATCCGAGGCGGTGCCCCCTCCTCCCCTCCCCCACTGCCCCTGGCCCTCAGACCTCTGGAGCAGACCGCTGAACGAAACCTACCTCACGCTCCCCACCCACAGGTCTGACCCCCTGCGCAACTGGGAGGGGGTGTCGGCCCGCTTCGCCGCCCTGCCGGCGGAGGGCGGCAGGCCGCCGACGCCGCGTCGGCTGCACCCCGCCCCGGACACGGCGTCCCAGGACGGCGAGGAGTCGCTGGACGCCGTGGATCTCGACGCCCGCGCCCCCAGCGCGCGCAGCGTGACGCCCCGGGCGCAGGGCGAGGAGGGGGAGGGAGCGACTGCGTCACAGGGCTACGGCGAGGCGGGCGAGATCGTGCCCGCGCCCCATGCGGTCACAGAGGCCGGGTCGCGCGATCCGGGCAGCCTGGTGGCCCTCGTCGCGCACAGCCGCCACATCAGCACGACGTCCTTGGAGAGCGCCAGCGCCAGCGGCGATGACCGCCAGGCGGGGGACGCCGGGGTCGGAGTGGCCTCGGCCCACTTCAGGCGCCGCTCGGCCGTGGACACCAGCGCTGCCGGTGAGCTGCGGTGCGCTCTTGCTTGGGTGGGGTGAGCCGTGCAACCCAAAGGGGCTTGGGCAGGAGTGGTCCAAGGTTGGGCGAGCACCGCGTCAGGGGCGAATGCTCAGGGAGTGACGGCCCTGAGGGTTCCGACCGCCTGGCGGCGCTCCTGGGGACCCTGCGCACCTGCCTGCACGGCTCCGCGTTTGCACCTGGCAGCAGAATCTCTGAAGCGACGTGCAGGCCCACCCGTCATCACGGCCCCGCTCCTCGCAGAGGCGGTGGTGTCGCGCCCGGGGTCGCATACCCGCGCCCACGGCCCCGGCACGCCGCCGCTGCCGGGGCCTGGCCAGGGCATCACCGCACGCACGCACAGCGCGCCGCCCACGACGGCGCCCACGGTGTCCGACTACCTGGACCCTCGCTTCGTGGAGCAGCAGGTGCGGGTGTGCATGCTGGGTGTGTGTGTGGGAGGGGAAGGGGCACTTTCCAGGGGGGGGAGGTGACAGTCATCAAGGTGAAGGGCCAGGTGCCATCGGGCCTGCATGGAGGTGGGAGCAGGTGGAACCATGCCACAATAAGCAGCTCCTGCTCGCGCCAGGCACACGTGTGGAGTCTCATCGAATCGCCCCCGCCACCACGACGCGAACACAGGTGTTCTCCTCCCTGGGTCCGATCCCCCCCGCCCCCGCCCCGCCGGCGCCGGCGTCGCCGGACCCCGGCCCCGCCTCTCCCCCCCGACATTGGCGCCTGCGCGCTGCGCTGGCCGACCCACAGGCCTTCCTGGGCCTCTGGCTGGGCCTGAGCATGTGGGCCGCCGCATGCTTCTCGCTGGCGAGGCGCGAACGCACCGCGCGCCTCCTGCGCGCCGACGCCGCGGCGCGGCTGCTGGGCGCGGGCGCGCGCCGCGCGGCGGCCGACCTGCTGGACGCCGCGGCGCGGGCGGCGGCGCACGACGGCTGGCCCGCGGTGCTCCTCCCCCTCCTCCGCCTCCTCCTGGACGCCCTGGAGGGCGGGGCGGGTGGGCCCGAATGGGATGGAAAGGAGGGCAAGGATGGCGAAGGTGGTGTCCCACCAGGCGGCAGCCCCACGAGCGACGACTCCAGCGGCGAGGCGTCGGCCGCGGCGGGGACCAGGAGCCTGCTCGCGGCGGCGGCGCTGCTGGGCCTGGAGGCCGGGGCGGGGTCAGCGGACCAGCCGGCGCAGGACGGCACGGCGGCAGCACGCGCCGCCCGGCGTCTGCTGGCCGCCGCCGATCGGTGCGGGGGGAGCGGGGGGTGGGCGGCGGCGGCCGAGACTCGCCTGGACGGCGCCTTTGCGCTTTCGGCGCGGCTGGCCCCCGGCTGCGGCGCCCGCTTCTTCGGCCGCGACCCGCCGGGCGCCGGCGCGCCCGGCGCGGCGGTGGGCGACGGCGTGCGCGTGGAGGTGGTGCTGCGCAACCGCCTGCCCCTGGCCCTGCCGCTGGCGGGGCTGGGGCTCACGCTGGCGCTGCTGGAGGAGGTGCCCGAGTCTTCGATCTCCGGCGCTGCGCCAGGGGGCCTACAGGCGCCGGCCACGCCCTCGGGCCCGGTGGCATCGCCGCTGGGCGCGGGGCACTCCAACGCCGCCCCCGTGCCCCCCACCCCCCGGCCCCTGTCCCCGACCTCGCCCACGCTGGGCACCGATGGCCGGGGTCCGCCGGCACACTTTGCGGTCGTCGGCGAGGGCCCCGCGCGGGACGATGCTGTCGGCCTGCGCGGCGTCTCCGCCCAGGGTCGCCCGGTGACCTGGCGCGAGACGTGCCTGCTGGAATCCGGCCCGCCGGTCATCGTGGTCGGCGATCCCGGCACACAGGAGGACGAGGGCGAGAGCTTCGAGGGAGTCCCGGCTTCGGGCACCGACAACCTGCCTTCTCCAGGCACCAGGGACCACCCGTCCCCCACCCCCCTCGCGCCGTTGCCCCCCGGCGAGACGCGGCTGCGCTTCACGGTGAGCCCGCTGCGTCCCGGCGTGCTGGTCCCCCGCACGCTCCGCGCGCTGCTGGCCGGCCAGACGCTGGAGGTGCCCGTGGCGGGCCCCGCGACCCGCGCCGCCCCCGTCCACCCCCGCGACGCGCGGCACGGCCCCGCGGTGGCCCTGGTCTCGGCGCCGAGGCCACACGCGGCCGCCGCGCCCGCGCCGGGCTGCGCCACGCTGGTCGCCGGCCAGGCGCAGTGGCTGGGCTTGCACGTGGGCCTCGCGGACTGCGCCGCGCGCGGCGCGCGGGTGG